TGTAGAGAGGCTAAAGCAGCGATATGACAACCGTAGTCTCGTAATACAGTCTCACATACGATCGTTACTAGAGTGTCCAAGGATAGAAGAACCATCAGCGTCAGCACTGCAAGAGCTTTATTCACATGTATGCACGCATGTCGCTGCTCTGAAGGCGCTTGACCAACCAGTTGAATTWTGGGACGCGTGGTTGATTACCATAGTTACAGGGCGTTTAGACAAAAACACTGGTCATGGATGGCAATTACATCAGAGAAATACDGAGTTGCCTAAGTACGTGGACCTTGAATCCTTTCTGGCTAGTCGGTGTGTGGCGTTAGAAAGTTCAGAGGCCGTAGGTTTAAATAAAAAACTCTCYAAGCCCACTCCAAAATTCAATTCTGGAACTAGGTATCCAAAACCAAATCACTCAAAGGGTGCACTGTTGGCATCGTCCGAGGCAAGAGAGAAATGCGTATACTGCACAAGCATGCACAAGCTGTATACATGTACTAACTTCAAAAAATTGGCAGTTGGAGACCGAATGAATTTTGTGCGTGAAGCTAAGCTATGTTTTAATTGTCTTCATTCATCTCACACCGTTGATAAATGCAGATCAAGGTTTAATTGTTTTATTTGCAAGGGAAAGCACAATACCWTACTTCATTATGAGAGACAAGCAAATCCTTCAAATGTTATTGCTGAGGATGAATCTATAGAAAATACAGTTTCAACTTCAACCTCAAGTGGCTCAAAAAGTGTATTACTAGTTCATCAAGGGCATGGACATGTATTTTTATCAACGGCTGTAGTTTTAGTGAGAGATAATCAGGGGTTACGTAGAAAATGCCATGCCATATTAGATAGTGGTTCGCAAGTTAACTTTATAACTAAAGGATTAGCAAGACAACTACAATTACCAGCAGCYAGAGTGACACTACCAGTTAGTGGCATAGGCGCGAATTCTCTTCAGACTAGCACAAGTGTCGATGTATGTGTCGAATCCAGATTTGGTGCATCGAATTTTAAGTTATCTTGTCTTACATTGCCTGTCATCATGTCACGACTACAACCTATTCATACTCCGGTGGAGGGCTGGACAATTCCAAGTGAATTAGTGCCGCAGTTAGCAGATCCCCAATTCTATGATTCTAAACAAATCGACCTATTAATTGGAGCTGGTGCATTCTTTGACATTCTACAGCCAAGTCGCATACAGCTTGATGTGGAAATGCTATATCTGCAAGACAGCAAATTGGGTTGGATAGTCACAGGTGAGATGACCCAGACATGTTTGTTGAGTGTTAACAGATCGGTTGAAGAAGAATCGGAGGTGATTCTCGGCCAYKAKGATGTATTGTACAATAAACAATCGAAGGCAAATCAATGTTCTATTGAGGAGAACCATGCGCTTGAACATTTCCAGTCCACGGCCAAACAAAATGAAGAGGGTCGGTTCGTGCTGCAGTTACCCGTCAAAGCGGATCTAACTAATTTAGGTCAGAGTGTCGGTTTAGCTACATCCAGATTTCTTAGTGTAGAGGGAAAACTACAGCAAGATGCAGACTTACGAATTGAGTATACAAGGTTCATGAAAGAGTATCTGGAGATGGGCCACATGCAAGAAGTGCTGCACGAATCCAATATTCCTAAGCGATCATGCTACTTACCACACCATGCTGTATTCAAGGGCTCAAGTCTAACAACAAAAATTCGCATCGTGTTTGATGCTTCAGCGAAAACTTCCTCAGGGTTGTCACTCAACGATGTATTGATGCGAGGCCCMARAACACAAGAGGATATATTCTCAATTCTTACGCGTTTYCGAAAATATCAATATGTAATTTCATCAGACATCGAGAAGATGTTTCGCCAAGTAGCTGTAGCAGAACAGGATTGGGATCTGCAACGGATACTTTGGCGCGATGACCCGAGTGAAGCTCTCCGTACTTATCGACTAGTCACCGTAACCTATGGTACTAA